GGGCCATTTTTGTGTTCTCAATCTTGCAAGGAAGGAACCTGTTCCATGAACCATCATAATAACAATATACAATAATTTTTATTTATAATATATTTTTTGTTTATAATTCTAATAATAATCTTGCGTGTTAGATTTCAACTCTCTAAATTGATTGTACGCTGTTTTTTTACAGGCATTAAATTTTACGTTTGTTTATTGTGCAAAGTGTAAAAAAAGCCAATTCCAGACCTCCAGATGCTGCGACTAGTCGGTGATACCTAAAAAAAATAAAAATAAATAGATGCTCTTCTCTATAATCACTTAAAAACATGACTCTCCAACATTGTCCTACAAATGACTATTCATCCAGCATCCAATAAAGTAGTTCAGTAGAGGCTATTAGCCTAATGTCGATAATTTTCAGTTTCCCTTAAACATCTCACAGTAAAAATGAACTTCATAATAAAGCTACATATCTTATAAAGACAAAAAAAAATTTTCCAGCCAATTTGGACTCAAAACTGGTACTGAAAAATCATCTATTAAACAAAAAAAATTTCATCAAAATCAGATGAAAACTGGAAATGCATAAACAATATCTGATCACACACACATTTTGATAATTATATTATATATATATATATATATATATTATACATACACACAAGTACTGCTTTCTTCTCATTGGATGTCACTCTAACCTTCAACAAAAAAATTTTTAAGTTCAACATTTCCTTAGCATCAAACTATTAAAAATCTCTTTCATAAAATTAAAATTAACTTGTCAAAGGAGGAGACATGAGTGAGAGTGGAACTGCTCAGTCTTAGCAGTTTCAAACTTGCATGTTTGCTACTGCTTCTTCTATGTGTTGTGTCCCTTCTGGACTTGGGCGATCATAACTCTCCACAACTTCCTGTCCTTTGTAGCTCTTAGCATTATTCGTCTTTTTGCTCTCTTTTCTAATTCCTGTTCTGACAACCAGTGCCATTAGTTAGGTTATTATCTGCTTTTCTCTGTCCTTTTTACCTTCAACGTCCTGTAAGCTTTCTATTTTCCAAACCCTCTTTTCTCTTTATTTGCCCTACTAAGCAGAAATTTACATTGAAAAAATTAAGAATGAGATTTTTTTTTTTTTTTTTTTTTACAGGAAATCTAACCACCTCACTAATTGCTGATTCATTCATTCACCGTCCAATGAAAAGGCAACCAAGCCCACTAACTCCTCCTTTTCCTTTATTACACAACTTGTGACCATCATTGATCCTATCAAGTATATTGTATTTCAGAAATGCAACAATATGTGTGGCTGTTTATTAGTTAAGAGATTTTTTTTCTTTTCTGAATACTTAACCTGTTCTCATCTACTTCAAGCACACAATGTTACAATTGACGGATAAATTATATAACAGACAAGTTCAGTTGAAGTTTTCAGAAACCCTTTAAAAAATCTGACAAACAACATATTGAATATAAGAATTATGTTTCTGAAAATATAATTTCACTTCTAGTTACAATTCTGTCAAAAAAATGTCTCTTTATGTTCAACCATTTGGTGACCTGAAATTGTTTCAGATTTTTTGTTAGTTCATAAAAATGTACATTTGTGCTTATTGGTTTTATATTTTTTGTGCTATTATTGATAATAAATAAGATTTTTTTTTATATTTTTGTTAATATAATGTTCAGAAAATATTGCTAAGTTAGCAATTGTGTTTTATTTTCTGCATTATAGGTTTCTGCTTTTATGTTTCTAAAAAAATAAAAATTTGACTGCTTCACTGTTTATTATATTTTATGAACTTTATCACAAATTTCAAGTATGGAGTTGTTTTTTTTATGGGAGGAGTTAATGGGATAAAAACAAAATGGAGTTAACTAGGAAATTGCTCAAAATAAATCTATGTTGCAACACCAGAAACAAACACCAATTTGTAATAAAATGTACCATATATACACACATAATATATGACCTTTGAAACTAAATTTAACTACTGTAAATGGACATATAGTTTGGTCAATGGTCTAACCAGGGCCAGCAGTATATACACTAATTTTCTATCTCATATATGATGCGACCCACCCTTAAAATTAGCGTCAAAATTAGGTCTTCAAAAGTCACATGATACATGAGTATATACAATATATAGAATATATCATAGTCATAAAGTTATTTTTAAGAATTTGTATTTGCTAAACAACAAAACAATGTCTGTGTAATCTTCGCATCATCCCAAGTTTCTGTGTAATCTTCGCATCATCCCAAGTCACACAAATAAATTTGAACTCTTTTGAAATGTCTTACCCATTATTTGTGCTTCACTACATAAGAAAATTTTTATTGGCTAGCACTACTTTTTTTTTTGTTTTGATATTTTACTGCAAATAAAACTATTTTATTTTTTTAATGCAATATTCTTTCTGGTCATAGGTGATAATGGCTCTCCTGAACTTCCTTTCTTTACTATCTGCAAATTGCCATGTCTTAAAAAAATATAGTGGAGTAGTAGTCCTTATTGCCTTCTTCAAGGTTTTGGAATTTTTAAAAAAATACTCCTTTTAAACTGGCTACTACCCAAGTTTAAATAGCCCAGTCTACTCCACTGTTTGACCCTACAGCTAAGGGAGAACAGATAGATTCATATCTTCCTCAAAGACATTTGTTTAAAAGTGGATGCAACAGCCTAGACCAAAATTTGAACTCAGCTCACCAGTTCCTGTATTGCAGAAATCGACTTTGATATTAACAATATATTTACAAATATTATTGCCTATGTAGGTAGATTTTTATATTAATATTTTTTAGAAAAAATAGATAAGAACTTAAGGAAAACAATATGTAAGTGTAGTATGTTCTTTGAATCCTTGCTGGAGAAGAATTATTTTCCACTCTCAAACATCTCTCTCTCTCTCTCACACAGGTAGGAATGTCATGAGTCTCTCACTGCTCCATTACTACTTTGCGGCCAGGACCAGCCATGCCACTTACATAGTAGAAAACCATCCTCATTGCTTCTATATTCCATCAGCAAAAAATAAGTTCCACTCAAACACCTTTGTTCTGTGGAACAGACTTCCAAGAGGAAGTTTCCCGAATCACTACAATCTTAACTTGTCCAAGTCTAGAATTAACCATTATCTTCCCCTCCTGTCTATATAAACTATCCCTTAATGGTACCTTTTACCTCAAGTGGCCCCTGGACCTTGTACAAGGTGAACCTTACTGTAAAAAAAAAATCCACACAAGAATGTTTGGAGAGGGCTCCCAGTTTACACATACACCCACTGGCCAACAGTGATTGACAAAGTCTACAGTGAAAAATGATAATGTTACATATGAAATATTAACATTTATGTTTTCCTTAGTAATGTATGTAATATTTTATTACACACTCTTTAATGCTTTTCTCAATCTATAGTCACTGATAAATTGAGTGATTGATTTATTTTTTATGGCTTATCAACCCTTTGTGGGTTATTTAAAGCTGAAACATATTTTAGATTGTAGAGAGATGCTTAGAGTACACAGTAGTCCCCCATCTAAGTAAGTATTTACTCTGTACCCCCCACTAGGATGAGATGTGGCACAAGGTCTATTTTTAGGTGGGGACCCAAGCGCGTACACCCGGGACAGGAAGAAAAATTCCCCCTCAGCCCCCGAAACCGTTGGTTGCATTGGCCTCGGTGCGATCACCGATACCTCCCTCTGATGCAATGGGAGGGCGCGGCCTCAAGCAGCCGTTTCCCAGGGCTAGGCACCTCTCAGTATTAATTCCTCAGTTGTCCCTCTGTCCTTTGACAGAGAAGCCTCTGAGTGCACCCTGTCCAAAGACAGATGCAACTGAGAGATGATAAGTAAATGTGACCTTACTCCCCCATCTAAGTACTAACTGGGCTCAATATTCTTAAATTTAGTGAACAAATGGGAACCAATGTTTTTTGGTGTAATTTGACTATAGGTGCACAATGTCTGAAACATTGTAATGTTATATTTGAGAGATTAAACCTTGTATTTTCTTTATAACATTGTAATAACCTTGTATTTTCTTTATAATATACGATAAGGAAGGAGCAAAATTATTTCTTTTAATTTCAGTTTTCACCAAACTTTTGTAACTACAAATAAAAAACAACAGTCTGACTTATGGCTAGAGATTACCCAATGTAGGTAAAAACAAATGGTTGTATGTATTATCACTTTACAGGGATATTACTGATCTCTTTATAGTCTCCACACAGTGAAAAGAACACTGATTTTATTATCGCCATTCAGTGATAATATTTTGGTGGTATTTTCACCAAGAATCTAAAATAATTTATGGTTACTTATCAATTACTGCTATAGAAAACTATAAGGTATTTCATAAAAATACATTTATTTCATATTAAAATTAAAATTTATTTTTCAAAAAGCTGTGTGTATTATCACTTTACAGTGAACGGCTATACAAGCATTTTCCTCCATGTTGCCTTGGATGGTAGGAAAAGAATAATCGGGAAGTTATTCCCCAGCAGTGACAGGAGGACCGGAGAGAGAATTGTTTACAAAACATGCCCCCACCCCTGTAATTCTGTAACTACTTTACTGGCTAAGTGATAAACAAAGCTCTGAAACTTCTTCTCTATATACTTTTCCCTTTTTGCCATCCCACCATCTCTTTGTAAATATATCCAATGATAAACAAAGCCCCTGATATCTCTTCCTCTCAATCCACCTTTACTACCCTCAGAACACTTAACCTGTGTCCGTATGGTGATATTAACACTCTATAATATCTCTGTGCCATGGTAATAGTCACTCCCACAGAAAGATTTTATACTTTTAAACAAGGTATGCCATTTTACATGTGCAAATGTTTTTGTTTTGTTTTTTTAACTGATTTTTTATTTTAATTCTTTTCTCATTTGCAGCATGGGTTTTGTCCTTCATTCTGATTTCTGCTGCAAGTCTGCCACGTTGAAGTCCCATGGCCATAGTCATAATCACTTACACAATGGACATTCTGGTGCCAGTTCCCAACAGATGTACCATCGTCTTTCACAGGAACCAACTGAGAATACACCAGCCATTATGGAGTGCCAGTCTATGGCCAAACCACACCAGAATGTTAATATCAGAGCAGCTATCATTCACGTGATGGGAGACATTATACAAAGCACAGGAGTTTTGGTAGCGGCTCTCATAATAAAATTTACAGTAAGTATTTATTATTTGTATCCTTTTCATGTTACTGTGAATATATTGTTTAAGCATATTGCCCCAAGCAAGGCAGGAGTGCCACTAGCATACAAGGGGTTACAGAGAGTGAGAGCAGAGGGGGGTGTTTGAGGAAAGGATATAAAAAAGAACAGGGATCAGAATCAAAGCATCAGAAGATGTCAATTGACATTACATTTGAATATTTGAAGATTATAGCTATCAGGGAAGCAAGTAAGAGAAAAGAAATTCCACTGTCAGGAAGTGTGAGATAAGAAGCTGTTGAAGTAGAAGAGATGGTTACATTTAACCATTGTGGCAATGAAAGGGTGGGACTGAGATGCCAACTTAGTAGAATGCAGTTTGTGAACCAGTGAAAGTAGCTCATCAGAGCAGTTGCCATGAAAATACTTATAGAAAAGACAGAGGGAAGCCACATCAAGTCTGTTAGAAAGTGACTGTAGATGAAATGCCAGATCAGGGCCTATCACATTGTATGGGGAATAAAATGCCAATAAGTAAATAAATCAGAATCTTTCTTGACTTATTAAATTAATTGACTCGATATGTTTACTTTCTGGGAATGTTTGTACATGAAATACACACTAACATGGCTCTTTTGATAATAATATAAATTAAACAGTTACATTAAAAATGGCTTAAATGAATGAATCCATTAGGCCATAAAGAAGACAATGCTTTATCAAACTCTAGAAACTTGTGCCATGAATGATACACACTTAGGCAATCATGTATCTGATGAGGCAGAGTTTTTTCCTACAGTAGGTTGCCATTTCTTTCTGCAGTAGACTAGTTGCCATCCAAGGCTATAGAACCCAGTCTGTCTTGCTATTTATCCATAGCTGCGGGGGGGGGAGAAGAAGAGTTTTCATACCTTTCTCAAGGATATTAGCACATAAGTAAATGTAATGGATTCAACTACAGAATCATAAAGAGTTTTACCAAACCACATCACTTGAACACTTCTAACAGCAATAGCAACAACAAAATGGGTATCATGTGTAACTGTTGCTAATTCTTCCACATCCTGTAACCCCTTGCATGGGATGATACCAATTTGAAAAAAAAAAAAAACTTTAAGAAAAGATAAAGATATAATCAATAATTTTAATTTTCCACGCTACTTCAAATGGTTAAAAAGGAAACTAAAGAATACTAAAGAAGTGTTAATAATTAGTGGATTTAAGAAAAACTATTGAAAAAAACTATTTAATGAAAAAGATTTTATAAATTTCAACCAATACTAACTGTTTGGTCAAGGAATGATAAATATTTCCTGTATAGAAACAGCTAATTTCACACTACCATTATGAACAAGATATGGTTTAACTTTTAGTTGTGTGATTTAAAAGATTTATCTGCATATACCTACATATATGTAATACCATGTAAAAGTCTTAAACCATTTTAAACTATTGTATATTTCTAATAATTATCATATTATAAGTGATTTTTTTTTATTGTGCTGTCTATAAATTAAACTTTGGCTGTACTGGAGTCATTTTCACACCTAATTATCATAGCAAGGGTTCTGAATGAGGAGAGAAGATGAAAGATGACCCCACCTCCAAAATAGCCATGCAAAATTCCTAGGAGATCTGACATTTTTTGTTTTCTCTTTTCTGTTTCACTGCTAAAAAGGCAAATATTTTTTTCAGAACAGGACCATTTTTTCCTACATATAGGATAAATTCTGACATCAAATTCCTGCTTTTTTTATGACTTGAAATCATGAGGAAAATTTCCAAAAAACCAGGATGAACATAGTGAAAATTGGTAAGAATATGTACCAGCAACAAAGATGAAGGAAATTGGAATGTAAAGAAGTAGCATTTCAAAAATCCTCTTGGAGTCTGAAAGCACTGTGTAGTGGAGACTTACCTCAGTGACCCAAAAGGGCCAGTGTCATATGTATGTTTTGCAATGGAGTGTGGGGATGGCAAATTGGCAAGATTCAGACTGAAGGTGAATTGGGCAGCACAGAAGTGGTGATGTCACTTGTAGCCATTTTTATTGGCTGGTTCTGAGTACATATTGGCTGAGCGATGGCTAGGTCAGGCACATAAAAGCATGGTACGCTTGTTGAAATAGGAGTCTTGTTTCTGATGAGGGGTTGCATACTTGAAATTGAGGAACAGAGATAACTGTGGAATTGATTTGCCTATTGGGCTTATTGGACTTGTATAGTGTTTTTTTGTGTGTGTGTGCTTCTGACCAATTCTCAACACACAGAGAAAATGTTTTGAATTCACCAAACTATAGTCATCTTCAAAAAAGCTGCAACATAGGAAAATATGGAAACTGATCAGAGCAGCAAAAAGCTGAGAGGAAAAAGACTGATAGTCTAATGGTAGACAAGTGTGGTTTACTCAATTTAGTGTCAGTAGATAATACTAAATGCATCCTCCAAGAACATGGACTGAAGAGATTCATTTCAATGAAGAAACAAGCTTTAAACAGAAAGCATTTGAAGGTAACATTAAGTTTGTCAAAGTGGCATGAACTGTGAGATGCAGATGCTTGGGGTAAGATAAGATCACATTCAGTGATAAAACAAAGATGGAACTGCATTTTCAAGAGTGTAGATTTGTCAGAAGGCTGACAGGAAAGTGAAATGACACATTACACAATGAAAACTATGAAGTTTTGGGAGCAAGAGTATAATGTCTTTGAGCTGCATGAAAAGGGAAAGTTCAATAAAATTGGTTAAAATTGACAATCACTTGAATAGTGCTAAATACATTCTGCTGATAAAGGAAAATTTGATACCAGAGTAGGAAAGCAGGATTTTTTAGCATTACAGAGATCCATATCATGGAATGCATGTAACACAACAAAGACTAATTGATGAATGTGTCATTGTATTGAAAAATTGGCCAGATTAAAGGCATGACTGAAATCATGGATCAAATGTTGACAGATCTAATAAGTAGAATTTATCAGAAGAATTCATGTGATCTTGAGTCATGAGAACCCAACCACAAGGAATGGCATCTAGTACATGTGAAAATGGTGAAGGATTTGCACATATCTCATCCCAGGCACAGCAATAATTCAAGTTACAGGAAGCCACACAAAATATTAACAAGTTACATGATCTTCTAAAAATCAACATTATATAATACATTTTCATTATAGACATTTGTTTTAAAACAGTTTCTGACTTGATTTATATGAGGTGACCAAAGAATTTTGCATGACTATTTTGACGGAATCATCTCACATCTTCCACACTCCTTTGCTTCAAAATATGATAATTAGACATGAAAATGTCTCCAGTATAGCCAAATTTTCATCTGTAGACAGCACAAGAAAAAAAAAACATCCACTTTTAAGATGGCAATTATTAGAAATTTACAATAGTTTAAAATGGCTGAGTAATTTTGCAGAGTACTGTACACTAAGATCTACAATTACAATCATTTCTGTTTTTTCTCTTTGTCAAAATTGTTCAGTCTTTTTCTCAACACTTCTGTATATATTTGTAACATACAACTCACTAACCTATTGTGCTTACTGTAATTTAAATTCATTGCAAAACTATATGTATGGAAAAGTGATATGGAGAATTAGTTGGCCTCTGGTTAGCAATGAACTGGTTGAATTGAGAAAGTGATATATTAAGTATACAGTTTAGTAGTTACAAGCAAATGTATTACTAAATAGAGTCACATACTTTTAAATTTAAGAATCTCTTAAAATAATCTACAATATTGAATATTATTCTACATCAAACCTGCAATGTTCTCCAGCCAATGATCATGCAATTTTGGTGCTAACCTCCAGGAGTGTAATTCATTTTGCCTTCTTGGTCTCACGTTTTCCACTGACATTAAGTGGAGTGATTATACTAAATCAATTGCTAGGTTTTCTGTGAGGAAAGTTGCTGGTTAGAATCCATCTCATGCATTCTATAAATTTACCATTCCTTCATGCATTGATTACTGTTTCCATATCTGGTCTGGTGTATCAGCTGTATATCTCAAGATTCTTGACAAAATCCAAAGAAGTGTGTCTAATGTTATCAGTCCTGACATTTCAATTTCATTCAATTTTCCAGCTTCATGACATGGCTTCTCTCTGTCTTTTTAATAAATATTTTCATGGGAATTGTTCTAATGAGCTCTCACCCTAGGTACCTCAACTTCATAAATTTAAGTGTACTACTAAATTGGCAATTAGTTTTCATCATATTACTGTTAAAATAGATGTAATTGTAAGATCTATAGTTTCTTTTCTCACACTTCTCACCTGTGGAAGTCTCTTTAGCTTCTTGCTTCCTTATCACACCTACATTCTTCAAAAATTTAAATACATCATCATCAACCATCTTCTGTTTTTCTGAACCCTGTTTGTTTATTGTCCTTTCTCTCCACAAAGGTTCTCTCATTTTCTTTCACCCCTTAAATCTTAGAAGCATTATTGCCTTGCTTGGGGTGAAATGATTAAAAAACAACAGAAAACATTGTTTTTAGGCTCTATCAAATAAAAGGATATATCACTTGTCAGTCATAACAAAAGCTACTGCATTAATAGCATTTATATATAAATGTTTTATATTGTTTATAATTGTATATGTGGTGAAAGCAAATGCAGACACTAAAGAAGTGCCAAATCATTTGCAGGCATGTCTGTTAAAGTTAGTCACATCTGGGTTTTTCCTATTATCAGCAGAACAGCTTAGCATATCCAGATATGGGCCTCTCTGCAACTTGTTTAGATCTTAGTCTTTGTCAACTGTCTCATGTCAATAAAAGTGATAGGATAACCAGCAGTCAGTGAAACTCAGTATCTTGTGAAGACATTCCCTTGACGCATTTTGTTCCAGAAGCTGCCTGATGTCTGCCTGTTACCCTGTAATTCTTAAGAGAACACTTGGTTATTTTGTTCTGTCACATCCCTTTAACCAGTGTTAATTATTAAACATTTCTGTGCCACATGCATACATAAAAAAGACAAAAAATTTTCAAGATAACTTAATTCTCAATAATTTATGTATAGACATATCAGTCCTCCCATATGTTAATGAATGCTGGACAATCTCATCACAGATGAAGATGAGACTTGAAGCAACAGAAATGTGATCCTACAGGAGGATGTTGAGAATACCATCAACTGAACAACTACAAAATTTTAAAGAAAATAGAAACAAAAAAGACCCTTATACCTAACATCAGGAAGAGAGAGTTGAAATTTCTAGGATGCATAATGAGGAAAAGGAGCTTGGAAAATTTGATACTCACAGGACAGCTTGAAGTCAAGGGTGGCAAAGGAAAACAATGCATTATCTACCTAGCAAGTTTGAGTAAATGGATGGCAGAACAGGGTTTAGTAGAGATTACAAAAAGATAAAATTTATTAAGAGCTACAAAGGATAGGAAATTGTGGAGAGCCATGATTGCCAACATTTTGAATGGACATAATGCATAGAAGATATATAAGACATTGCAAAGTTGAATTCCTCATGATCTGATATATGTGTGTGTGTTTTGTTTTTGTTTTTTTAACAGAATTGATACTTTTTTCCACCTCCTTAGAATACTTGATCATTTTACCATCTAATAGCCAAATGAACATACACCAAATCTTATATATGTTGGTTTAAATAATCTCCATGTCCAAGAGCTTTGACATATGGATGATAGACATGCATAAATACTTACAAATAGAAAAAGTTTGTCTTCTGATTTTTTTTACAATAAGGTTTATCCTGTACAAGGCCCAGGAGCCACTGATGGTAGAAGGTTACATTAAGAGGCAGTTTATGCGGATAGGAGAGCAAGGGAACAGTTAACCTTAGACATGAACTGGTTAAGATTGTTGTGATGAAGGAAGCATCCTGTTGGGAATTTGTTGGTTTGTTTAGTGGCATATCAACTTCTTATGGGTCATTTAATGCCAAAATTTAATTTTCTTGAAGGCATTAGTAATTTCTTTTACAAATTTGCTGGTATTTTTTTTTTTACTATGAAAATGTATTGCTGGTATTTTTACAATAATTCTTTTTCAACTTTCACAGTGTTTTGACCCCAGTTTGTCAGTTAACAATTTTCCCATAGCTGTAACCCTAACAGGTCAAGGTTGTTGTGGTAATTCACTCACCTATTGTGCTTACTGTAAGCTCTCGTCCTTGGTACCTCATACTTGTTTGTAGCCAGAACATATAAATTAGCTTGAAGGACTATTCTAACTAAATATGACAGGTCTGCAATGCCATACAACTAACAGTTTTGTTTTTCTGTGTAGTGTTTATTACTCTCCACTTCCTTAGAGTTCTCTCCGAGTAAGGTAGTTCAGTAATTCTGTTGATGCTATACTGAATAGCAATTACTACTACACTCCTTAATAATGTTTTTCTTTTTCTTATATTCTTTAATCCTCATTAACACTCCCTGTGTCTTAGAGGCTTTGTTGCCTTCTATATGGTGAAATGATTTTTTAAAAATATAAATTTCTTTCTTTCCATACAATATTTTAATCCATGATGCAGCAGGCAGAAAAATATCCTCCTGTTTGAAATATAAAGTAACAGTCTTGTTTGCACTGTATTTTGTTTTTCAATTTATCAAGGTTTGTTGCCTAACATTCCATATAGCTGTTGGTATGCATTGCTAAGTCAATAAAATCAACCTTTTTTTTTCTTTTTTTGCATTCATAGGAACAGGAAAAATACAAGTTGGCTGATCCTATTTGCACATTTGTCTTCTCTATAATTGTCCTATGTACAACATTCAATGTCCTGCGAGATACAATCTGTGTTGTTATGGAAGGTAAGTATAGCTTCTTCTTCTGTGTAAAGGGATACACCCTTCAGCATGTGGGCAATCATGACTCCCCAAAATGTCTTATCCCTTGAATCTCTTATTAACATCTGTATTTTGCAATTCCTCCCACCCACCCCCTATTCCACCATCCATTCACAAAAGCTCATTCCCAATTCCTTTTGCCTTCAATATGTCCTGTGACTACCAAATTCTCCAAACCTTCCTTCCTCATTATGTGTCTAAGAAATTCCAGCTTTCTGATTCCAAGTACAACTGTCTTTTTTGTTTCTATTTTCCATAAGAATTCTTCATTGCTTATGCACTCCAAACATGAAATTCTCAGCAACTTCTGTTGCCTCAAATTGCCTATTCATCTGTGAGGAAATTGTCCAGCACTCACCACCATTATTTACAATATTTAAATTGCTCAGACTGTTGTCCTCATCTTTGTCATCATATTCACAACGTTTCGGCCATTCTATGCTCTGGCCTTCTTCAGATGATTGGAATTTCCTCAAGGACACATGGCCCAGTGGATAATAGCATTAATAGAAGTAATCCAGTAACTTGATTCAAAAGAGATGTGAGTTCAATACCTGGCCATAGCGGAGATGAACAAAAGCTTGGAGAGTCAAGTTACTAAGGGAAATATCTGAAACTGAGATATCTGGAAGAGGCATGGTCCGTGGTACTAGAACTGTCTACCCTGGTGGACAAAATAAAGGGTTCAGTTTGAATTTCCAATCACCTGAAGAAAGCCGGAGCATATAACAGCCTAAACATTGTGAATATGACAACAAAGATGAGGACAGTAGTCCAAACAATGTAAATAATTACAATACATCATCTCAGAAATATACCCAGATATTCACTGCCATATAGGAGGATTGATATTACATAACATTTCAGCAGCCACTTCTTAGTTTCTAATGAAAGTTTATTAATATACTGGTAAAATACCCAACGTCTATCTTTAGTCCACTGATAATGTTATAAATTACATTTGCTGTGTTTATGTATTCATGTAATGAAGGAATTTAGTATTGACTAATAGGTTACTCATCAATATTCAGAGATTTTTATGTAAATGATGAAAGTAACTATACAAAATCGATGATCAATATTTGATGAACAAACCAGAATCTTTTGTCTATCCTGGGAATTGCTTTTATTTAGAAATAAATATATTTATTATTGGTGATGAAGGTACATTCCAAGACTAAAATTACTGCTAACAAATCATATGTGGCATACGTGTTCATATCAGAACATTGCCAATGTGGATAGATGGGAGGATAATTATTTTATCAGAAACTTTGGGAATAAAAATGAACTGACTCAAGGTTTTAAAATAAATAATATATTTTTATTTATTTTCTTTAGAGTGATTAGTGAGTCCTTTGGTAGTCAGGAAAAAGTTTGTTAATAAGGATTGTATTGGTAGCAGTCTAGAGAAATGTTCATTTCAGCGTTTTGAAGTAAGACCATGGCAGGGAGAGTAGTAATCTCAGAAATTAGGTCAATGTCAATCTGCTGTGTTTTTCTCGACCCTTATCAGGGAGGAATTGTCAATAGTAGATGACATCTTAACTGCTCCTTCACGTATCACACATGAGTGGTTTCTATAGAGTAGCATTCTTTTGTTCGCTACTCTTCTACTGTCAGTCTTCTGATCCCCACTGTTTCTCTGTCGGGGGGGGGGGGTCAGGTTTTGATCCTTTTGACCAGGACTGATAATTTGGTGTGATCTTCAAAAGCTTCTTTGTGTCAATTTTTTGATTGGCCAAATTATTTTATTTTCCAATGTTCCTTTCTTTTTCATTTTTTTTTTTTATAATGGAAGTTATGTGTTGAGCCTGCACCCCACCCAACGATTTTTGGTATTTTTCAATCACAAATAAGTCAGCTCTGATCCTGCAAACTTCCCATGTTTTTGGCTGGGTTCAGTCTTTTCTCCTTCATCTCTTTAGTTCAGGGTTGCTTTCTAGTTAGTAGAAAGAAAGAAAGAAAAAAAAAGGAAAAAAGAAAAAAGAAAGAAAAAAGAGAAAGAAAAAGAAAGAAAAAGAAAAAAAGAAAGAAAAAAAAAGAAAGAGAAAGAAAGAAAAGAAAAAAAAGAAAGAAAGAAAGAGAAAGAAAGAGAAAGAAAAAAGAAAGAAAGAAAGAGAAAGAAAGAGAAAGAAAAAAGAAAAAGAAAGAAAGAAAGAGAAAGAAAGAGAAAGAAAGAAAAAAAGAAAGGAAAAAAGAAAAAGAAAGAAAGTAAGTCTGTCTGTCCTTAATTTGAATTCTTTTTATTTTTTGTTTTTTTTGGGGAACTCACTACACATATGAGAAAGAAAGAAAGTCTTCCTATACAAACATACATTGCTGTTCGATAAAAGTGACTCACCTGATTTTTTTTTTTTTTTTTACTTAACAATTTTTTCGCCTATTGTTTTTGGGGTCAAACTAATTTTTAATCTTACTAATATAAAGACCTCTTCCTGACCACCTAGTAAAAGAGTTTACTCCCCCTAAGGTATTCTATTGATAATTATAATTTTGGATATAAATGAGATTTAGGGAAAAACTGTGCAAAAAAAAAAGTGACTCACTTATTTCCTGCAACTAGTAATCAATAGAAACCAAACATCTTTAAATAAAGAATAATAGAGGTATAATTTATTTATAATAGGTAAATATAGTTTGAAATATTTAATAATCTATGGGTCCTCCTTTATTTCGAATAACCTTTTCAACGCTTTTTGGTATTGACTTGATTAGGTTTTGGCAAATCTCATCTCCAAGCATTGAATATGAAATTCACAATCAAATCCTCTTTGTTGCTCAACTGCTTTCTCGAGAGCCTGTACTTTATAATGCCCCATAAGTTTTCTCTGGGGTTGAGGTCAGGAGATTGGGGCGGCCAGGTCATAACACTCACCTGCTCCTCATCAAAGTATTCTTTCATCAATTTTGATTTGTGACAGGGAGCATTATCCTGCATAAAAATGATCTTGGTGGGGGTCGATTTGCACCCTTTCAGCAGAAGGGAGCAGACAAGACTCTAAAATTCTCTTTTCAATAGGTTTTAAGAAACCAGTTCCATGAAAAGAAAAGCATCCCCAGAACATTATACTGAACGGATGCTTGACAGTACTTACTGCTAAATTCAAAGAGCTTTCAAAGCTTCTTCTTCGGATTTTAGATCACTTATCCTTTGAATTTAGCTCAACTTTCGTTTCATTGGAGAAGAGAACATTTAGTAAAAAAAAATCTGGTGAGTCACTTTTATCGAACAGCACTGTAGGATAATGTTTAATTTATAAATTAGACAATGAACGATTTAGAAGAACTATAACAATATATATATATATATATATATATATATACACAACAGAGGATAGCTGTGTGTCTGTCTACGTGATTCCTTTTCACTCTAGATCTATCCAACTGATTTTGACCAAACTTGGCACATATATTGTAAAATGTAAGAGATATGTTCTTAGCAAAAAAAATTCAATAGTCTATAAACTTGGTATATAGGTTACTTACATCATGACAGGCTCAACAATACCTCATTTTTATTTCTATACCACTGCATTTAGGGAAAAACCATGAAAAACAAAAAATTGATTTCAACACAAATTTTAAACTATAAACTCCCTCAGTTTTCAAGCAATCTAGTACAAACTTCACATAATTGTAGCTAACAATAAGTTGATTGTTTAACAATCATTTAATTTGATAATCGAGTCCACCCATATAGTGAAAACCTGCATAAATAGTGAAAAATGGCAATTTTTACTTGTTCATTGATCTTTCAACCAATTTTCATCAAATTTAATAATTGCTTTATAAATGTATCCTCTTTTACATCCCTGGTAGCACACTGAAAAATTGAATTCCAAAAACTCCAAAATAATTGTGGTCTAAAGTTGGTCTTCATGTTGCCTGTTTTACCCCTTCATGCCTTTGGCTAATTTTGACTGAATAAATACAGACTACTTCTGTTATGTTAGTAACTGCATTAATTTAAAAATGTTTTTAATGAAAGTACTTTAAAGAAATTGAAGATAGAATGGAGCAAAAACAGAGTCTCATTGAACACTTTTTCTGATTGACCAGCTGGGTATGGCTGTTAGTATAAAATAAAAGTTATTTAATGGATTGAAGAATCATTCTTACCATAGGTCTTATTAAGTTATTGTTGTTAATATCTTACTGTGTCTGATATAGAACAATTATAACAGTATACTGTAATAAAATTTATGTAACAGACCATTCTTACTGTAGATCTTATCAGGCACTATAAGAGATAAAAACTATTATAATAGAATAAAACAATTATAACAATATTTTTTTAATCATTTCACCCCAAGCAAAGGGACGAACACACAAGAAGAAGGAAATTGAGAAAATATTTCTGAGGAGAAAAGACAATAGAAAGAATAGGATTCAAAAAGACAGAAGATGACAATGTATTTAAATTTTTGAAGATCATAGTTTACAGGAAAGAAAGAAAATGGAAGAAAGTTCCACAAGCAAGAAGTGTGAAAGAAGAAACTATTAGAATAGAAGTTATGGTTATATTTAACCATTTCAACAGTAAAATGATGAGAGATATTTGCTAATCTAGTCCTGCACTTAATTTCATGAAGTCAAGTTATCAATGAGGAAATCTCATTAGAACAACCACTATGAAAACAATTATAGACAAAGGACAGGGAAACTATATTACGTCAGTGATGTCAGGATTGATAACATTGCAGATTCTTCTTGGGGTTTTGTCAAGAATCTCTAAATATATAGAACAAATACAAAATGAGGCATGGCAAGAATACTTAATTCAAAAGCAAATGGCAGTCTTATAAAGATGTAAGATAGATTGACATGAGAAAAACTGTCTAGCACAACACATTGAACTTTATTTTTTAGCAGCTGACTTATGAATTAGAACGATTATATAGAGTCAGTTGCTATCAATGGGAAACACTAAAGCAAGAAAGAATTATGAGTTACTCTTCTGGAGGTTAGCATCAACCATACTGATCATAGGCAAAAAAAAAAAAAAAATCTCTAAGATGATTAAAGGAAAGCAGTTTAGTTTTGGAGGTGTTTTGTGGCAGATGTATTCATTCTTACCAAAGCTCTAATTAAGCACAAGAAGAGATTAACCACAATAATAACTTATAATAAACTAGAACAAGTTTATTTTTGTTTTTTAATCAATTCACTCCAAGCAAGGTGATAATGCCACTAAGACACAACAGGCTACTGGGAGTGAAAGAGAATAAGACAACAGAAGGAACTTTTTTCTTTTTTTAAGCATTCAACCCCAAGCAAGGCAGGAAGCCACTAGCACACTAGGGGTTACAGAGTTGGAGCAAGAACAAAGAGGATTGATAGAGGAAAGAATGAAGAGAAGGATAGGGGATAGATCGGGGCATCTGGAGACATCAATTGATGTTACATTTGAATATTTGGAGATTATAGCTATCAGGAAAACAAGAAATGGGGAGGGAGTTCCCCAGGCAAGAAGTGCAAGACATGAAGCTATTGAAGTAGAAGAGACGGATACATTTAACAGTTTCAACAGTGAAAGGGTGAGAGCGAGATGCCAGCCTAGTAGAAGGCTTAAATTCATGAAGTCTGGAAACCAGCAAAAGCAGCTCATCGGAGCAGTTACCGAGAAAGTATTTGTAAAAAAAGACAGAGGGCGGCAACAGCACGTCTGTGAGAGAGCTGCTGCAGACAGGATGCCAGATCAGGGCCAATTACATTGCATATCCGTCTTTGGATTTTATCAAGGACCTTGAGACAATTAGGAGGGGCTCCAGACCATAAATGGCAGCAATACTCCATGCAAGGGCAAATGGTTGATTTGTAGATTTGAAGGATCAACACCGGTGAGAAAAATTTCCTGGCACGGTACAGGGAACCAACTTTCCTTGCAGTGGATGAAGCTATTGACTCAATGTATTTGTTCCATCTCAGGTCAAGAGACAATGTGAGACAGAGCAGTTGCAAAGAGGTGCTCTTGTGGAGTTGAGTGTCAGACATTCTAATGAGAGGCAAGGATGGTTTTTTGTGGTGATTAATAGAGAGCAGTTTTGTTTTGGAGGTGTTAAAGTTAACCAGCCAATTCCTGCCCCAGTCCACAACCAATTGGAGGTCCTTTTCAAGACAAGCAGCCAGGTTAGTTTTGTCGGCGACACTAGATTTGTTTTTGAGGCAGGAGTAAATAGTAGTGTCATCCACATAGATGCCTACTTGGGAACCTATGAACCTGGAAACCTAATCCTAAACAGAAAAGAAGGGATAAAACTCAACTCCTGTTCAAAAGATCAGGGAGGAGTGTGAACCACTAACAATGTACTGTAATAAAAGTCATGTAATGGATAGAAGTCTTAAGCTTTTCATAGATCTTAATGACATCAATAGACAATTCTTTTTTTTTTTTCTTTCCATATCAAATCAATAACTTTCACGTTTTCACTTAACGGAAGGACTAATCTTGTACTTTGCAATCATCAAGTAAAAATTCTGAATTGCTTATTTCTAGTTTTCTCTGCAATTGAAATCTTTGGTAAAAGTGGAACCAGTGTATAATGGTAAACAAGATATTAAATGCAAACTAAAGAAGACAATGTCTTCCTCTTGATCATAAATCTTATATACATTATTTGCATTCAGACTAATGTCTTCATTTTTGCTATCACAATATTTCAGCCATTGTGCTCTCTGGCCATTTTCAGGTATTTGTCCATCTGGGTAACATGTAGTGAATTTCAAACTGAACCCTGTATTTAATCTACAGGAATAGATTGTTTCCACCTGTTCATATCTAAAGATCTGTCTTGTTTTTTTGTTTTTTTTTAGTACTGTCCAGTTATTTTTGCCCTGTTTCCATCAAGTTCAACTGTTATATACTTGAGTGTGAAGTTTTTCAGAAATAAAGATCAACTTTAGTCAGTTTGTAGAATTGAGCTTGTCAACTTGGCAGTTAATACATGAATTAATTTTAGCTGACATCCACGAATTTCTTGTATTTTTGTTATACTGGAATAATTATAGCAACTCATCCTTAATACCAATTTTGTATACTTGTGTAAGTGTGTCCAGACAACTGCTATTACTGGATAACCTAACTACTGCAAAAACCAGAACACTGTAATAATTTAACTCAGACCTCTGTGTGAAATTGATCTATATCTACTGTCCTAGCATGATCTGAATCTTTGACCCCATTTCAGTCCTGTTGTAGCAATAAAACTGGTAGTGAAAGAGGGTGTGACAGATGAATACATATACAGTAATATGCAACAATAACACTACCTTTGAAATTTCATGAATTGCTTTCTGGTTGACTGCCAAAGAAAAAAAAAAAAAAAAAAAGAAAGATAGCTAGAACCGATCTGTACATAAACAAAGAAATATCTCCAAGAGAATCACAAGACATTAATCAAATGTTAAGCAGCTATATTTTTTTTTCAGAGTTGCTTTCTTTGTGTTTTAGATTGTGAACATTTGACACAATATATAAGATGCAGCCATTAAACGACAAGCAAAGATTGACAACTCAGAATATATGGACATTTACAGTATTTCTTTTTTAAAAAGTGAAAGACAGCATATAAAAGAAGCACTATTCTGTATTAAGATATTTAACAGAATGCCAATTCATTCAAAATGCAGTACAAGGATATTTAATGCAGAGATCCCATGCGTATATAGAACTAGAGTCCAAAAATAATACAATAGTTATTTTCAGGACTAAACTACCATTTATTGAGTATACAGTCCTGGTAGAGGATAACTTGAATAAAACAATTGATCAAGTGGTAATCATTTAACACTGTAATGATGGTGGTGATTCTTATTTTTAAGCCAGAAAAAATTAATCAAAGCCACACCATGTGCAAGGCTCAGGGGTCACTCAAAGTAAAGGGTTAGAATAAGGGGTGGGTTGTTTATATGGATAAGAGGGGAAGATAACGGTTGACTCTAGATTTGACCAGGATAAGATTGTAGACTCTAGAGAGTCTATTCCATAGGGCAGTGGTTCACAGAAAGAAGCTGTTTGAGTGGAACTTACTTCTCGTTGATGGAATACAGAGGGAATGTGGGTGGTTTGTTACTAAGTAAGTGGCATGGCAGGTCCTAGCCGTGACGGTCATACCTGATGGAACCAGGAGATGAAGCTCGTCCGAGCATTTTCCATGGTAGCAGTGATAGAGCAGTGAGAGACTCACTACATCCCACGTGAGAGTGACGTTGGAGTGTGGAAAATAATTCTTCTCCCACAAGGACTCAGAGACACTTTTGAACTCTATCAAGACTGGAAAGTGAGGTCTGGGCAGCTCCTGCCCAAATATGGCAACAGTACCCCATTTTCAGCAGTGGCTCTTATAAAGGTAGAGAATGTCTATTCCTACCCTATGATAAAGTTTATATATTTTTCTTACTTGATCTTTGTCTACAACTTTATTTCTCATACCTTTTCTGTTAGCATAAGGTATAGTACCCTAGATAACATACTCATTGGTACTCCTAAGATGAATATTTAAGAAAAAAAAACTGTTACTGTTGCTACATACATGTCCCCTACTTGGTCCCCTTTATAAAAAGTCTCTTTTTATATATTTCGTGAAAATTTGTGAGGAAAAAAATCTGGGAGTAATACTTGGTCTTATGTGACCAAATATGGTAATTATTTTCCAAACTAGTTTGTATTTAGTAAAAAGCAAATCTCCATCTGAATTTCTGGGATGAGGTATTATCCTTATTTGTACACACATTATTATCTCTATTTTTGTTGTTCTCATCTGAACATTTTAGCCATTGTACCCTCCAGCTTCTGTTAGATGCTTGTCTATACAGGTAATCATCAGGAAATTTCAAACTAAACCACTCAGAATTTTCCATTGGGACAATAGTCTAGTAAATTAAAGCATTTGTTCAGGAATTTAATGATATGGTAATTGTGAGTTCAATCCCTGGATCTGGCAGTGTGTACTTGGACTCAGTTAAAAGAAGGAGGAGCAATAACCAAGGAGTACTAAATAAGAACAAGATAAGATATCCCTGGACAGTAGAAGAACAATCTACCCTGCATAGATTAAATAAAAGGTTCGGTTCAAAATTCCCCGATGGTTATTCAGAGAATACAATGGCCAAAATGTTGTAATAATAACAACAAAAAGATAGGTGTCAACATGTAAATAATGTTATTAAAATTAAATAATAAAACAAATCCTCAGTACTTCATTGTAAGTTATAAAAGTACAAAACTACTAAATAATGTTATAATTCAATTGATGGTTTCAGTATATGATAAACTTTATTTTATAAATATTATTATTATAAATTAAATATTATTTATATTATATATATATATATATATATATATGATAAACTTTATTTTTTTCCCTCCTCTAGGTGTGCCACAGGATATTAATTACAAAAAGCTTCGTTCAGAACTTGAAACCCTTGATCATGTGAAGATGGTTCACAACCTGTGTGTGTGGTCATTAACTCTCAACAAAAATGCAGTGTCCGTCCATCTTGCCTTGGGTAAGTTTCTTGTCTTTTCTTCATCTAGACCAGTGATTCTCAAACTTTATGAAGTCAGTGTGCACTTGAAATTTTACCAATAATTTTATGAACACTATATACAAATTTTGGAAAAATATATTATAATGAAGTGTTGTATCCTTAAAAAAGGTTACAAACAGACGAAGGTGGTACTTGAGTGAAAGGAACAGCAGCGTGGGCATAGATGAAAGAAAGAGAGGTTTATTGTTAAAGAGAATACACTACTGAAAGACAGGGAATCAGTTAGCAAGCTAATAATTCCTGAAGAAAGTCCACCAGGTGTATCCTCTGCTTACTATATATATTTCTACTGAAATAGTCAATCCACATAGGGGATAGGGAGTGTGGGGGCATTCCATTACAACATGAAGTCAAATATTGCAGAAAAGAAATAATGCAATAAAAAAAACATAAAATGAAACAAATCTTAAGTTTATTCATTCTTGTTTATGAGAAACATGAGCCTGATAAGTCTTAGCGATTTCTTCAATGTTTGGACGTATATTTGATAGGCAAACTCATTTCCTCATCAATACATTGAAGAGTTCCTCTCTTTTTGCACTTAATTGTAGTCAGAGCAGAAAAGGCCTAATTCACATAAATATGAATGAGACAGGTACCACAATATATTATATATATTCATTTCTTATATCTGGACACATATTTCTCTGGAATGCCAGGGCACACCTAGATATCTTCCAGAGTGCACCCGTGAACAACTAGACTGCACACAGGCACACCATTTGAGAACCTCCGATCTAGACAATGGAATGGATTTTGAAGAAGCTTTTGACTTTTAAATATTTATAAGAACTACATAAAGTATAAATTGTATTTTCAACAATGCGTATGTGTTTGCCTTATTAAACAGAACAGACAAATCCACCAACTCTTTTGTTGAGTCTTTTCTGGTGCTAAATAAGTCATTTGATATCAGACAGGAGTTTGTAAAGGAAACAATGTGTGCAATGTTCCAAGGCAGTAGCTAATGCAGTGTTTGTTTTAATGATTAAAAATTTGAAAGGAATGTGGATTTATGTGCTATGACTTTAGAATAAATCTTAGCTCACTTGAAGTGATCTTATAGTTCAAAGGCATTTTCATATATGCACACTTAGATTGAAACAAATTGTATTGATATTAGGTTGCTCTCCTATGATGTGATGGACTTCCAAAATTTTTAATTTTAGGTTGCAAGTTGAAATGGCAAACTATTGTTATAGTGTCAACCAGCAGAAAATCATCAAAAGACTTAACATAGTTTAAACAAAGAATTTCTGCTTAAAAAATAAGATATATATATATTTGTTGTCAGTCAAATAGTAATCATCTCTCCTTATGGCCTTTCACCCCTCTGGCAGTGGTGACAGATAGCTGTGAAGGCCATGTCTACTCCTGAATAGTCATGAGCAGGAGTACAAGAGGAGTGTGGGATGCAACTGTCTTTTTTTATATATATATATATATATATATATATATATATATATATATATATGTGTGTGTGTGTGTAGTGTATTTAGGCAGCAATCCTTCATTTAAACATATTTCATTAAAGATGACAGACAAGGTACTGCAATTAAGCTTTTTATTTAATTTTTCTTGTGTTCGACAAGTGTTTTCTTTTCTGGACACAGAGTGTATAAATGTTCTATAATTCCTAGCACTTTCAGCCATTATCAAGGATGATTTTATTTTTGCTTTTTAATTGGGTGTATGGGTTGTGTGTATGTTTTTAGAGTTGTAGGGATGTTTTATTTTCTGAACACAGTTAACACATTGTGGACGTGTTCATAGTTAATATTATTGAGAGTTGGCTTTTTTTTTTTATTATTATTAAGGCTTCCATTATTTCTAATCTTTTTTTACATATGGATGAGGTTATAATGTTTGTATTTTCTACTAGTATGTTTTGATGGAGTCTGGTAAGTTTGTGTGTGTGTGTGTTTAAATGGGTTCTAATTGAGCTGTGGTCAGATAGGTGTAATGTAAGATATCTGGATAGGCCTGTAGTATTGCGACTGATGTAATTATTTATGAATTTGGTTTGATCAGGAACACAGTTCCTTAAGAGCCATTTGAACTCATAAATAATGTTTGTTTGTTATAATTTTGACTTTGCGGGTGTGTTGTTATTTTTGAGGATAAAGTTAGCTGTTTTAAATTTTTTGTAGTAGATAATTTGATTTTTTTTTTTGTTTGGGTCAATTGGGGTAGTGTATTTCTTTATGATATTTCTAAGTGAAGATTCATCTTGTTTGTAGTTGATGTGCATTTGGCTTTAGTAGAAAATATTTGTTATTTTTGACTGTGTGTTTACTATCATTGTTATTTACTTTAAGGATAGATAGTCTAATATGGTGGTCTATAAGGTGGTTAGGGAAGCCATTGTTAACTCATGTCTGTTTTGCATTGTTGAGTTCTTTAAGGAATAGTTGTTGAGAGGATGAATTCTGGTGTACTCTTTTTAGAAAGTTTTTTTTTATCATTGCTATTTTGTATCTGAGTGGGCATTCACTCTTAAAGTTAAGGTGGCAAGAGTTTATATATATAAAAGAGAGAGAGAGAGAGATTTAACAGAATTCCCACTCCAAATGCAATACAATATAACTGTTTTTTTATACTTTTCTTATATTTTTTATTTATTTTTTTTTAAACATTAGTGGTTAGGCACATCAGATCCAATGATGGTTCCCCATAGGTGATGCAGGTTCAAATCCTGCCAAAGGATGCATATTTTTCTGACAAGATTTCTCGAATATTAAGGCTGGTAGATGTATTTGGATAGAAAAATATTGTTTAAAAAAAAAAAAAAAATAAACAGAGCTTCTACTCAAATATGAGTTTCCATCAAAAATAATGTTTAACAAACAAAATAAAAATATGTTGGATTTAATTCATTTTGTAATAAATATATATATATATATAGAGAGAGAGAGAGAGTGTGTGTGTTAGATGGGGGACCAAGGAGCCCAGTTTAACATGTAATGATCAAAAATTTTGATCATATGTTTTATCTATATGATTAATTTCTTTCTTTGTCAATGTGATATTGAAAAATGAGTTTTTTTCTGTTTTGTTTTACTTCTTTAGGCTACAGATTTATTTATGCATTTACATGTATTAAAAAAACTGAATTCTTAGTTTCTTCCAGCAGAAAACTATAAAAATTATTACCAGACAATGAAATCCTTGTTCAAAATAAATGCATTCTAACAGCAAACAAAACTGAAGAAGCATTTGATTGATTATGTGGCAAAGAAACACTTAAAATATATGAATGCACAAGAATTATTCATTTTATCAATTTTGCGATAAAGCTCAATCATTGAGAAAAATCTTGGGTGTTTAATAAATAAATAAAAATATTCAACCTGGTGTAATATAAAACTGTCCAGTGTTTCTCACTAGTCATATTTCTATTAAATATGTGTATTGATTGTTATGACTTGATAGGTACAAAATAGTCAAAAACAGGAAAAGAGTTTAAACACTTTTCATAAAACAGAATACCAATGAAAAAAAAGGGCTATAAAGAAGTTATAACTCTCAATGTTTTTTTCTTATTTCTCTACACTACACAAAGATGTTATATGCCAAATGTAAACTAATAATAATATTTAATTCGTTTTATTTAATTAATTATAATTAGTTTTAATATAATGTTAGAAGATATAACAAATAAAACAGGACCTAAAGAATAAAATTTCTACTAGTCTTGATTATCAAATTAAATTAAAAACTGAATTAACCTCAAAATAGAATTCTTTTAATTTAAAGTTATAATATTATTCTTGTAATACTCCAAGTTTTTTTTTTTTTAATCATTTCACCCCAGCAAAGCAATAATGCCACTATAATAGAAGGAGAAAAGGTAATGAGTAGACTAATAATGAGGAGTATTGAAGAAGGGACAAAAAAGGAATGGGGTTCAAGAAGATAGAAGATGGCAATTGACATTGCATTTTGATTAAAAAGTGAGACATGATTTTTTATTAAACATTTTATTATGACAAAAAGAAAAAAAAGCATTTTAGGATGAAATTTTGTTCCCATCAAAATAGCCTCCTTTAGCCTTGATTACTGCAGCACAAATTTTTCATATTCATTGCAAAAGTTTCTCAAAGGATAAGTTTGATAATTGATTCCATTTTTTTTTTCAATGAATCTAAGAACTCTTTTTCATTTTTCTGTCAGGACTTTTGAACTGTAGTGTGTGTGTGTGTGTGTGTGTGTGTGTATACACACACACACACACACAGCCATTGCTAACCAATTATAAAAAAATGCTGAATACAGTGTAGAATAAATATAAACACTATTAAAATATAAATATTTTGGCAACTTAAGTCCCCCCCCCCACATCTGGTCAGAGATTGTCAGGTTAGGATATATTTTAGAATTATGAATTGCTTATATCTTCCATGTTTAATTCCTTAACTCAATAAAATTCAGGCTAGGTTATGTTCTTATAATTATGAATTGTTTATATCCTCTGCATTTAATTCCTTAATCACAGCAGATATGAACAATTCATAACACTAAAAATATAACCTCGCCTGATGATCCCTGATCAGAGAAGTGAAAATAAAGTTTCTAAGATATTTATATGTTATAATTTTGATGTTATATATAACAACATTTACTACTGTGTGTATATATATATATATATATATATATATATATATATATATATATACTTCTGCATCAAGTATTAAAGAATATAAGTTGAACATTCAAAGATTTACAGTTTATCATGACAAAAGTTGCAGTCAATATTTTTCAAAAACCCTACACTTTCTCTATTCTAAATTTGACAGGAAGACAACATACCTGAAGCCCCATTTCATATAAATGACACAGTAGTGTTCAATAATTTACACAAGCACATTATATATATATATATATATATATATATATATATATATATATATATATTTTTGCTGAAAAGCAAGTCTAGGCTTTTATAGGATGTTTCTAAG